TTAGGGGGCACCTTTACGGAGTAGAGGATTTGCCAGATATTCCAGAAGGTATTATTACGAGATTGATTTCTTTTTATTTCTCTTTGACTTTGGCTCATAAAATCTACCTGTGTCATTGCAAAGCTCGGGAATTAGAAAAACAAAAATTTAAAAGGATAAAGTAAAAGGATAAAGTAAAAGGATACTAGAAGTTACATACAGCCCTGGTTATATATCAATAACGTATGTTAGTATGCATATTACGCAACGGTTTTTTTATAATGTCAATCGAAAGTTGTTACTTAATTACACATAAAGTCAGGCCAGTGGTAAATGTGAACGAACTCTTTATGACATAGAAAGGGACTAACGTAGTTGCTGTGGACCATGTGGAACCGATACTCATAGAACGCTTTAATGGTGGCGTCTGCTGTGCATGAGCATTTTAAATTAATACTTTAAAAACCTTGACTTGATTGTCAATATTTCTATTTTGATACTTTCTTTAAATTTTGACCATTGCCAAAACTTTGATTACGGTATATTGTTCTTGTTGAAAAGTACTTTAAACTACTGACCTGTCTGGTGATATGGATACAACATTAACATTTTGTAAGGCATGCACTGTAAATGCATGATCTTCAAGAATACTTAACTCAAAAGTATTTGCTTAGGCATTTGGCCAGTGAATCGGCTATTCCGTGTGCCAGAACGTCCACAGAAAGTGTTGTAAAGAAGGTAATATCTGATGGAGTGAAACACCCCTTAGACAGGAAATGATGGATCTATACCCAAAATGGATCTATACCCCTCCCGCACAAATGGACTGTTCCTAAATCACCCCTGACCAAAATATGAAGTGTTCCAATAGTCTATACCCCCATGCAGCAATGGAATCTTCCAATGTCCCGAGTGTTCTATTTAGAACTGTCAGTTGGGGAATTGGGTTTTCAAGCTACAATGGCTGTTTTTACTCAAAATAAGGTAAAAAAAGTATTTTAAAGGGCTGAATCTGAATAGTGAACACTATAGTCTGAGCATTTGGTGCCAAGTTACCTTTATGGTGAATTGCAGGTCATTTGGTTTTCGTATTAGCGCATAGGAGCCAGAAAATGTACATTTGTGGTCAAAATAGCAAGAAAGGCCAATTTACATAATTTTAAAGTGACACACGCCAAAAGCATTCAAAACGTTCTGTGGGATTGTATGTAAGGATCTCCCATACAAAATTTCAGGTCATTTGGTTTTGATATAAGAGCACAGGTGCCAAAAATGTACATGTTTGGTCCGGAAATAGCCAAAAAGCCCTATTTTACACAATTTAGAAGTGGTGTATGCCATGGGTGTGAATAAAATTCTTAGGACATGTGTCCAAGGTATCCCAATACTAAATTTCAGGTAATATCAGGACACAGGAGCCAAAAATGTACATTTCAAAAAGCCCTATTTTACACAGTTTTAAAGTGACGTATGTCAAAAGCTTGAATGCCTTTCTGTAGACATGTGTCCAAGGTATCCCTATACCAAATTACAGGTAATTTGGTTTTAGATCCAGGGCTCCAGGTCCCAAAATGTATATTTTTTGCCTGTTTCAAAAAATGAAAAAAAATCTGTGGGTATTTGCCCACTCTACCTCCATGCCAAATTTGAATCCCGTTAAAATAAAGAAATGGCAGGAGAAGGAGAAGAAGGAGAAACATCAAAGAACACAATATGTTTCACCAAACTACGAAGCCATAAAAATGCCAATGTCATTTTATATATACTACCAAAGCTGACAAAATGATTGATTAACGATTGATTGATGATTCATTAACATTGCTATATGCAAGAAATGTCCAATCGAATGCTCGCATAGCCGTAGGAAATTCATAGAGAAAAATGCTCTGTATCTATTTGACCATTGAATGTTAATTTGCTCTAGTCCCTCCCAATCCCATCGCGTCTATGATGAGAATCCGAAGCAATCGCACCGTTAATTTCCTCCTAGGTTTGTAATGCCAGTAAATTAAATCTTTCCTCTCCGCGCTGTGGCTGCTCAACAACCCAATCCAAGACAAGCTGTGCAGAAATAGGATTTTATCCACTGACTTTGGATGTATGTCAATGAACCTCAAAACATGTTTACGAACCTCTGATTTCACACATTCTCTCTGTTGCAGTATTTTTGCACATCGCAACACTATTCAGTCACTATTGTTACCCTCCATGAAAATGGGGGTACTGTTTTTACTCCGTTTCATGTTTGGTCTGATATCTGAAGATCGGTGAGAAGGAACTGTACGATATTTGGCAGATTGATGGATGGGGCCTTGGAGATTGTGTAGGTTGACTTTGAGCCCCTGGTGATTGACCTTGGTACTGCAGTTTAATTTTTTTATTCTGTTGTTTTCGCGTTATGGACTGTTTGTGCGATATTAAGGTAGCATGTAGTTGTTATTACCATGGTTTAGTGGTTTAAATTTGGGTCCCCTAGCTGTTTGCGTTTGATATTTACAAAATGTTTAACGTTGGACTTGTGTGTTGAATGTTTGGAAAATCTAGGGGATGGTTTGGTATGATTTTTGGTATGTGGGTAGTTGTTGAGGTCACCAACTAAGATGGCTGCCTTCTTGGGGAGTGCTCTGCACTGAGGATGCCATCCAATGCAATCCTCAGTCAGGGTAGCCCCAGTAGGCCTACATTTCTGTAACTGTAAACCTTAGACAGGGTTTAAAGTACTCCTGTGTTCATTTCTTTGTTTTGGTTTTATTTAGATAGTATTTTCTCAACAATAGTGTCTACCTCACACCACCCCCCTCCCACCCCATGTATGGGCTGGGGATTGGAACCGATGCTTTCATTTTGAGTTTACAAACAGTTTACTTTTATTTTGGACATCAACCTTACCATCTTTGTGACCTCGGCCCTCGCAGCCTTGGAGAGGAGATAGGCACCACCAAGGATTACTTTACTGCCTGATGAGTCAGCATGACAAGAAACCAAGCGAGGTCCACTGGAAACCGGAAGGAAGGCGCAAAACCTACAGCGGGAAAGAGACTGCAACTACGCAGAAAAGGTCTAGGAATCGGCACATGGAATGTAAGAACACTAAATGCTGAAGGAAAAATACAACAGCTGGAGCACGAACTCAAGAACTATACGTGGGACATTCTGGGTATAGCAGAAGCAAGACTGACAGGTACCGGAGAAATAACCACAGATGAAGGCCACATGATTTACTACAGCGGACATGAAAGTCTACACAGACAAGGAACAGCAATAATGGTGCACAAACGGGCGAGGAATGCAGTCAGTGAGTACAAACCAGTTTCAAGCCGATTGATGTCTCTTCGCTTAAATGCCAAACCTTTTAACATCACAATCATTCAGGTGTACGCACCAACAAGTGAAGCCAGCGATAATGACTTGAATGATTTTTATGCCGACCTAACAAATATAATGCAGAGTGTGCCAAAGAAGGACATAACTATATTGCTCGGAGACTGGAATGCAAAAATAGGGACTGATGCTTATAAGGATTGGCATGGCACAGTTGGTAAACACGGTCTGGGAAAAACAAATGACCGAGGACTAAGACTGCTAGAGTTTGCTAGATATCACAGATTAGCCTTCGCTAATACTTTTCCCAAACACAAACTCAGCAGGAAAGCAACATGGCATTCACCAGATGGCAGGACACATAATATGATCGACTTTATCCTTATTGCCAGAAAACACCTGCCTTGTCTAAACCTAGCGAGAACCCGTACTTTCCCAGGTGCGGATGTTGGGAGCGACCACGACTTAGTGATGACAACTTTGCAAGTTCGTTTAAAAACACTAAAGAAAAGGGGTAATGGAAGAATCCACTACGACGTAGAAAAACTTAAGGAACCCAGCATTTTTGCGGCATTCCAAGTAGAAGCTGAGCGTAGGCTTACACCTCTTTTGGTTGACAACAACACTAAGGATGAAAATCTGGCAAAGGAGGTAGAAACAAACCTGAAGGCAGCTGCCAAATTCACATTGGGGAAAGCAAGACACGTAAAACATCCATGGATAAATGAAGAGGTACTCCAGAAGTGTGATGAAAGGAGAAGGAAGAAACGAGACAGATTTAAATCCCGCAACAAAAACAGAGAATATCAGAAAGCAAATAGGGAAGTGAAACAGGCAGTCAAGGCTGCCAAAGAAGAATGGATTCAACAGGAATGCAGGAGAATTGAATCTGGCATACAAAGCAACAACACAAAACAGGCATTCCACACAATAAAGTCACTCTCCCAGAAGAGAGGAAACCAGACAACATGCATTGAAGATGCGGATGGGAGCTTGTTATCTACAAAGCCAGACATACTAAGGCGATGGAAAACTTACTGCCAAGAACTGTACAACTACCAACTGACTGCAGAGGAAGGTGTACTGGAAGATTTAAAATCTAGAACCTACCAAACGCAAGTAGATGACGAACCAGAAGTCCTTGAGTCAGAGGTTACAGCAGCAATCAAAGCACTAAAGATGGGAAAATCACCTGGAATAGACAATGTACCAGCAGAACTACTCAAAGCAGGGGGAGAACCAGTTGTAAAACTGTATACAAGGATTTGCAACTATGTGCTTAGAACCGGTAATTGGCCAGAGGCCTGGACAACTTCCATAGTTATCCCTCTCCCAAAGAAGGGCAATCTAAGGCAATGCCAGAATTACCGCACTATAAGTCTAATTTCTCATCCAAGCAAGATCTTGCTCAAGGTCATCCTGAACCGGCTCCAACCACAGGCTGAGAAAATACTCGCTGAAGAGCAAGCCGGTTTCAGGAAAGGCAGGTCCTGCGCTGAACAGATTTTCAATCTCCGTCTGATCTGCGAAAAGTACAGAGAGCTCGGGAAACCAGTCTACCACACTTTTGTGGACTTACAAGAAGTGCTTTGACAGAGTATGGCAGGACGGTCTCTGGGCAGTGATGCGCCGGTTCAACATTACCCAGGGGGATTGTTAAGTGCGTTGAAGCGCTCTACAAAGCATCACAAAGCACAGTCATGACTGGGGGGAGTTCAGTGACTGCTTCCCTTACGTCAGTTGGAGTACGCCAGGGATGTCTTCTTTCTCCGACACTCTGCAATATATTCTTAGAGAACATAAAGAGAGAAGCCTTAGCACCAAAAGTAGCACCCATCAAACTGGCAGGACGCACCATAACCCACCTCCAGTTTGCGGATGATGTGGATTTGCTGGATGGGTCAAGAGTGGATCAGCAATCCCAGATCAACAGCTTGGACTCCACAAGCAGGAGGTATGGTATGGAGATTAGTCTGGAGAAAACCAAATGCCTTGTATCTGGTCCGTCTGATACAAATGGCCAAGTCACAGTCAGAGGCACAGAACTGGAGCAGGTCAGTGAGTTTACATACCTCGGCTCTGTCCAGACAGAAGACTGCAGCTCAGACAAAGAGGTGAAAGTCAGGATTGCCAAGTCAACCCTTGCACTGTCAAAGCTAAAACACATCTGGTGCAGTCATAGCATCTCCATGCCAACAAAGATACGCCTACTACGTTGTCTTGTGCTATCTATTTTCTTGTATGGTGCTGAGACATGGACTTTGAATGCAGCTATAGTGAAGAGAATCAATGCGTTTGAGATGAACTGTTATCGCAGACTGCTACGAGTTCACTGGACATCACACACTACAAACAAAGAGGTCATGGAACGCATTTACACCTTGCAAGGCCCACTCGACAGCTTCCTGGCCACAGTTAAGAAGAAAAAGTTACAGTGGTTCGGACATGTGTCTAGGGCCAAAGGCACACTGTCACATACAGTTCTCCAGGGTAAGGTGGAAGGCGCACGGCCGCGGGGACGTCCCCGTCGGTCATGGATTACAGACTTAAAAGAGTGGACTGGTGTAACAGCCAACCAGATGGCCAGACTGGCGGAGGACCGCCAGCAGTGGAAGAACTTGGCCAAACATCATGCTGCCCCGACGGATGACTAAGCTATGGGAGAGAGAGAGAGAGAGAGAGTAGTTGTTGAGTCTCTTTGTGTTTTGGAGTGCATTAGCAGGTTGTCGCATATTTTTATTGCTTGATTTAAAAGGATTTTCACTTTTTCACCCCTACTTCATAATAGGATGGTCTGTTTGACCCAAAAGTTGGGACAGAGTGTTTTTGTTTATACCTCCAGCTGGCAGGTCAGACCCAGGCAGCCCTATCTATTTTTACCCCTATAGAGTCTGCAGGAAAATAAATCTTGTTTGTCTGGTCTGCAGGTCATTTGTCTGGTCATTGACCTACATGTACAGGCAAATGTAGCCTGGGTACCATCCCCAGTAGTATATTCGCAAACTCTATAACAGTTTGACTCATAATATCTCTATTGAAATACACCAAAAGATTACAAAATAACAAGCTATTTCATGGAGGGGTGATGTCTACGACTTCTCCTTGTTGCTTTATTAATCTGCACATTTCCATGCGTCAAAATACGATTCCATGTCATACAGACTTACGTAAAAGAGGTTTGTTGATTTAAAGGTTATCGTTGTCCCCGACGTTTATTGATATTGTTAGTTCATTAAAAGTGTCATTGTAGCAAAGGAAGTCTGCAATGCATGAACAAAAATCACATCGATACACAGTTAGCCAATATCTACTAAGCGTTGTATAAACGTATAGAAGATATTATAATTATAGTATTATAAGTATTAGTACGGTCGTTACACGGTCTTTCTTTTAAGATGTCAGTTTATTTTCAGAACAAAATGATATTGAATATTGATTCTCAATGTTATATATAATAATGTCAATATATAATCTACCATTCACATTATAACTGCAGAACTCATCTAACGCTAGGTATAGCTATCTGAAGGATATTAGAGATCTACCGGTTAGCTGTACCTGTGACGTCCGTCGGACGACCCTATGTTGCTGACTTTTAAATATCAAGGGAAATTACGGGCTGTATCCAGATCCTGGCATTACTAGGCAACCTAATAATGGTACCTACCGCACTACCAATGCACATGAGTGCAGAGAAAGTTAGTGTCAGCTTTTTTATCAATTCAACTCTAATATGCATCAGAACGTGTGTCCTTTTCCTCTTTTATATGAGATATAGCAATGCTGCAGTTGAAAATATACAGCCTAATGTCTTTATACCAAATCCAAAAAATACATTATCTAAGAAACCGACAAAGTTGAGGGAATTTGTATGTTAACATCGTGATAGCATCTTTTTTTGATGTTCCATTTCATCCAGTTCCCTTGCGGCATATTGTACACAACACTTGAGGAGTATTTTATCATCATAACTACACAATACGGATTGTATACCATATGGACGAGACAGTCCTTTTTGGTTTCCATCGACGTTCGCATTATCCTGGGGTCACACATATACGGCAGCTCGCCGCAGATAAAATGAAAAGCTATTACAGCAGATGTGCGCGAAGTGAGCAATCCCAGCCGCCTTTGCCTTTGGTAAGATTTATTTTCTCCGTTTCACGTAGATAGATACAGATAAGAAGCAAATAGATCCCCGTGAAATATGATTGGTTATATCATTTGTATTATACACATTCTTATACAAACTTTCTTGTTAACATGAATATTACGATTTGATTTGTCATGGCTTAATCAACTCACATGTTCTCACTTAAAATCAAGATGAATAGAGAATCCGGTAGCTAAATTGATCAATATATATATGACAGACCTACTTTCAAATTGAGGCGAAGACATTTACGCTTCAGTCGAAAAAGTCCTTTCGCTACGTGTTAACTGCGCTGCGGCGGTAAGAATGGATGCACATGAAAAACAGCTTGTACGACCCACCATATCGGGTTTGAAAGATACAACAACGCAGCTGAATGAAGTATTAGGCAAGAGGCAGTTAGAGACACTTTCGTAGACTATTTCGTATATATTTTTTCGTAAATATATCTCAACGTCAATTTACCTGTAGTTCACTTCTTTTGAATGTTTTATATATATATTTATAGATATTCTAACAGACAAATTTGCGTATTTTATTCATGCCTATACTCTTTAAAGACTTTAAAACTATGGCTATACTTCGTATGTAGGCGATGACAAAACTGGCAAAAGACTGTTACCTGACTGCAGATGCTACTGCACATCCATATCCTTTATCTCATAATGATGTCCCACTGTGTAGTCAGTACAATTATAGATACCATCAAACACGATAGGACGTGTAACAGAGGGAATATCCTGTGCATGAGATAGGCGCGTCATCACATTATTCTCTGTCTGATTTGCTGGGAATTGATATCTATCTGGCAGTGGAATAGTGAGACAATTTCTTCTGGCTCTAGCGCATTAAAACGCCTAGGCCTCCTGTCATTAATGTGGATTACTTCATAAGTTTAGAAAAGATGTCAGCACAAAAATTAGGCGGTTTGTAAAGATACGAATACTTCTTTTTTTTCAGTTGAAGTATCATATAATTTGCATTTCCTTTAATTATTTGCGCTTTGTATCAGGTTACTGCTATCAAAGATTAACAATATAATTTTGCATAAGAACAATGGAATAAATGCGTATTTGCACACTTCCTTCTATGGAATGATAATGCATCAACTAATGCCGACTTTGGATGAAAATGAATATTTTCTCCATAAAGTAAGAAATTCAGACTTAAGTAAGAGAAATTATTAAGCTCTACACATGACATAAACGTCACCTAGCGGAATAATAACAAACTGGAAAAGGATCCCTTGGCTTCCGCAGTAAAATAATTTCCTGGAATTGGCATCCCTAACCCATTTCGTTGACATTTTTTGTGTCTGTGAAAAATGATGATAATAAAATTATCTCAAAACAGGTTGTGTTTGAGTTGTGCACATGAGTGTGTGTGTTTTGCCTGAAATATACTTTATAATATTCCCTGTGCAAAAATACTTATCTATTGTTAATGGAGTTTGATATATCTCTCTTTGACCATTTGTGGACAAAATGTTGTTTTTCTCACATATATTTTCAAACTAATTCCCCACAGGTTGCTATTGTGAGGACATTGGACTGACAGTACCGGAAACGGTGAATGGAATTGTGGGAGAACCCGTGACGCTCCCGGCATCCTATGAGAATGGTCATAAGCTGATATCTGTCACGTGGAGTAAGGTATTTTAGATTTTCACAATGTCAGTTACAACACAAGACGGCAAACTTAAGTCATCCACCACCCAAAACCTTTCACAAACACCTAAAAACCACTACCATCACCACGTGATCTATTCTACAAATGCTCACCTTGACATTTCATCTCCAAGCATATTCTGGGGCACCTGTAACCCTTGGCCGGTGGCGTATTGGATACTGCCTGAAAAATTTGATACAATAACTGTATTGCAGCCATCCAAAGATCTGCTTGGAGACTACAGACACATCTCTTAGTCTTACTTAATCATTGATTCACGTACTGCCTGTGTTTATAATATCCCAGCAGATCTTTGGGTGTCTGCAATACAGTATCAAATTATAATTTTGCATTTACATCATAACATATAAGGCGGTAATGCCAAATATTCACCATTCCGGTTGACCATCCAATAAAGTAAACCTCAAGAGAAAATACAGGCTTCACATTACATTCTAGAAAATTCCCCCTGCAAATACCCGCATCCATCAATGTCCACATGACCTTGGCGTTACTTTCTGTAAGACTCATATTGATGCAATTTCGAGGGAAGAAGTAGGTCAACGAAGTCGTTGGCATTTCGGCGAACAGGAAATTGATAGTACGGTCTGGTGGAGGGGCAGGCGGTCAATGTATGACCGCTGAAACTTTCCATACATTACCATCTGGAAGATATTTCTGATGGCACGAGCAGAATTTGGTTTATGGAGTTAACTGAAAATAGATTTGTGCACTTGATATGTGCAAAACAACGTTTAAGGTGCTTATATTCAACCTATGGCTGGCTGTGATTTAACCGATGACATGGTGCTAGGTTAAATGCCATGTTTTTGATAAGAAATTATCTGTTCAATATTTATCATAGTTGATGCCGTATTTTGATATGTGAAATTTGAAATTTCAAGAGAGAATCAATTAAAATTCTATTCTTGTTAAGCCAGTCATGAAATTTAGGTAGGTTTGCAATATTTAATGCAGTAGTGTGCATAGGTTTTCCTTTAAACACAATGACAGCATTCTTTGCCGCATCCCTTTTTACTCACTTTGAACTCATCGGATGAGTTGATCAGATAATTTCTGATCAAAAACATGGCATTTAACCTAGCACCATGGTCTCAGAAAGAGGGAAACAAACAGAATTTTCTCATGGACTCATGGCATTTACGACAACGCCAGTTTCCAAATGAAGAATTGTATGTAGATATTTCTGTAAACATCAGGCGGGAACTGGCTTGTCAAAGTTTAGTCCGAAAGCGCCATGACTACAGACTGAATCATTTATTTCTATCACCTTTGTTGGAAACGGTTAGGCCTTGAAAACAACGGAAACTTCATCTGTCTTTTAATGTATTTGGTTCACCAGTGCATCAATGTTCACCACTTTTTATGGTGCTTTTGTTTTAACCGTCCAGGTCCGAGGAGGGTTAAGTGGCGAGCGGACAGCAGTCTTTGCCTTCTATCCGCCACAGAAATACTCTTACGGTCCGCTAGAAGGGAGGGCGTCTTTAGTTGGCATTGCCTCGCTCAAGATCAACAAAGCAGACTCATCAGACGAGGGTCTGTACGTCGTCACCGTCTTCCTAGGAGCTGCAGGAACGCAAGAGAGGCACGTGTACCTCAACATACTGGGTAGGGATGAAAACATTAATTACACTAATGTAATGATCCAGTGAGCCCAGTCATAGGAACGACGTTTAGAGGTACGAGGACGTGGATGAGGTACTGGACTCAGGGCCCTTTTCGCATATCGTGTCCTGATAAAAAAATTATAACACCAAAACCAAAGGCGTTTCATGTATACATGTAGGAATGTAAAAACAGTTGATGTATTGGTTGGAGAAGCACCTATAAGATACTCTGTTCGACTGCTGGCTGTCTAACTAATCTAATTTCAATGTCATGAGAAACACTTCAAACGTGTCCGCTCGAGTACTGAAGACCACCTAGCACTTCAACAACGCCTGTTGTCGGAATAATACATGAACTGGCCTTCACGATTCACGGTTAAACATTAATGTCAACGCCGTGAAATTGATCAATCTTGTACAATGAATGCTTAATCAGAATCTTCGGTCCATGTATATCGGTGGAGCATTCCATTACATGACAACTCAGGTTGCTAGAACTGCAATTTGCACTTGGGTTTCTATATACGGATTTATCATAAATGTGAGCACTGAAAAAAAGTGCACTGCATAGAAAATCACTAGAGCCGGTACCGTTGCGTCACTACTCTTCACGTGAACTGTGAGTCTTCCTTGGTATTTATATACATGAAATGTCTTGACGAATCAATTCCGTTACAGATAATTAGCTTAGGTATTCAAAAATTCTAAATGCATGAACCATTATGTTAAAAGAGAATCCAGAGACATGTCATTGCCATTTGTAAGAGCTTTGCTGATATTCCACTCAAGAGTGCTGGTAATAATACGCAATCTACAATCTACATTAGCCCAAATAAAGGATGATTAGACGAATAACGTCTACCAAAAGTACGTGGAGATATCGGAAACAACGGACAGGGACGTTTTTCCTGAGCGACAGATGGTTGGGTTATCTAATCAGTTTTAACGCCTGTCTAAATGGAATATCCTGGAAGATATCACATGGGCTGTTAATTATATCTCTTCTGGAAAATATAGTCCTGCACAAGATGGTGGTTATTAGCGTTTTGGAAAAGATTTATGATAATTTATTCCCA